ATATTAAATCTGGGTTTATCAATTCTTTTACCAGAGTTTTTGTAAATTAGTCTGTTTAGAATAACAAAAAAGGAAATTAGGGTGACTATCCAAAATCTAGCCTTCTTCGTAGAGGGAAAAATTGCAAAGACTTTAACAGTTGAAGTTACCTGAGATCACTGCAGGACTGATGTGTGTTACTTCATCTGCCTCTTTGTCCTTTTGGTAGAGAGGGAATGGCTTACGGATGCTTCCTTTCTGTTTTTCTCCATGTTTTTGTGTTTTCTCCTTTTTTTTGAAAACCTGGATTGTTTTGTAAATGTTGATTGCCAGAAATATTGGCTAAAGAAGTTGTTTCAGTTGATGGCAGTATTACAATAGGTATAGGGTGAATAGTGATGAAAGTGATAATACAGGCCGTTACATTTATTTTCTATATAGAAATTCTGATGAAGTTCTCAATAAAAGCTTGCTTGAATGTCCTGGTCACAGCCCTATAGGATTGACTTTCAGTATTTGTCTTCCATGCCTGGTGCAGCTTAAAAAGTAAACAAGGCAGCAAGAAAATTAATGGTTTTGATGGCAGTGTAAATAAGAAATGAATTTCTTATTTATTTAGCTACTTCCCAAGCTTTCTCTGAGTCCTACTAAACAAAACCAAAAAACATCAACAAAAAAAGCATCTTAAAATAAGCTAGAGAAAAGATTAACACAAAGCCACCTTGCTTGCTGTGTCTCAAGCATATTGCTTTCTCCTGTGGATCTAAGATCCCAGAGGAATTTGTTTTGAAATAGACTGTGTATTTCTGCTTGGTCTCCCTCATATAAATCATTCTGGTAGGTTGGACTGCTAATTTGGGAAAATTACAGAGGCTATATCAAAAAGAATATAAAAATACGAACCTTTCCCCATGCCTGCTACCTTGATTGTAGCCACGGTGGTAAGGCTCAAAATGGTTTATGCGCACACAGAGAGAATATAGGCTTAGTCCCATTGGCTGGCCCAGTTAGTGCCTAAGAAGCATCAGAGCTGTCAAGAAAGCTGTGTTTTATTATGAAGATAATAAGAAAACTGATGTGATGAAGCCTAGAGATTAAAAAAAGTGTACTTACATTAATGGGTTGTGTCCAGAAGAATATTGCCAGAAAGACCAGCATAAAACTATAATGCAGTCAAAGCTCAGAATTAGTTTTAACACTGTCAGTAGTTTCATGAGGGGAATGAAGAAGGAAAGATTATAGCTGTTCTGATGCTTTCTCGGAATTCCGGGTTTCAGAATCCAGTATTATTCCCCCAAATTCAGTTTTTGTTATTGTAGAAGTTTAAAATACTTGTAGAAATCAGTGAAGAATCTCTTCAATTTGGGGGAGATGTGATTTGCTAAAAAGAATTTAATGTGTGATTGTAAGATTTCTGGCAAATAATATTGAAATAGTTACAAATACTCTTATTCCCAGAAGGCTATGGAAAAGGTTGATTGCTGATGGAAAAGGTTGATCATCACATTGTCTTCCGTATTGAGACTGAAAAGCCATCTTCACCATCTAGATTTTGTTTGTGGAACATTACATCTGCACTAGAAGTTACATTTTAATGACCAGTTTGAATTTGGTGGTACTTACAGACTCCTTCAGTTTTGTCTGTTTGAGGGGTTTGGTTTGGTTTGGTTTGATTGGTTTGTTTTAATGCTTTGATAACAATTAGTGGTGTCCCAAAAGAGAGAACTCTTAGGAAGGTACAATTTTCTCAGGGGGAGCAAGCTTGACTTTTTTAATTTTTGTCCCATCCGGTGTCACCCCTCCCACCAAATGTCAATTTTTGGGTAAAGTCAAAGGATTAATAAAGACTACGAAGTACTCAATAGCATTTGTAGTTGCATAAACTGGATTAATGGTGAGTCCTTAGATTTATTCCCCCTCCTCACCCCCTCCCTCCCCCCCATGTTTGAGTGCTAATATCAAAAGTTCCAAATTTGCTATTTATGTTAGTGGAAGGAAACTAATGCCAGTAATTAGCAATAGCAACACCACACATCATGCATTATTAATTCTTCTTCTGTGTTAAATTTATGCTTCTCCATCTCAAAAGGTTTCACTAGAGTTAACTTTTGATTTGTACCAGGGCAAATGGAGAGAAAAATTAAGCCAGTAGATGAGTTCCTGTATTTTCATCCTCATGTCTGCCACCAGAAATTGAAAGTCAGCAAAAGATGTTGCCTGACAAAGACTGGAATTTTTGTCTGCAGGAAAGTATAGTACTTCGGGGAACAAGAAGGCATAGCTGAAGATTAATAAAGATTTGAAATGTGTATGAAGGGCTATTTCTTAAGAGAAGCAGCACTGATAGGAAGTATAGGGTGCAAGTGGTCATTGGGTCTGTCCAAGAAAACCCCAGGGAAGCAGAAACACTAGGGAAATGCTGTTTGTTTTTAAAAAGGTGAATCAATTTTTTGATGGCATATATCATAGTTTATTTTGTGAGTCTTGTCACACAGTGCAAAGTCATTAATTGTATGGCAAAACATACAGAACTGGTAAATCAATGCAAGATCTGCGACAACTACGTAGTATTAAGTCTAGGTAAGAACTGAATAAAGCAATTACCTTTTAAGATCTTGTCATCTACCAAGGTAGAATACTCGAGCACCTATTAGAGAATGTTTGGAGAAATACTTGTGACAGATTTAATTTGAAAGCTTTTGAATAAGTTAGTCTTTTCACTCTGTTAGCATTTTGATATCACTTGGCTGTAATTTCAGAGTTCAGTACAAAAAACAAATGCCTGAATATATTATTTTATCAGTTTGTCACAAGCTGTGGGAAAATATTCAGGGCATCATTCTTTTGGAAGTACATAAGGGCAACAGAATACAGAACTAAGCTTGATAAGATAGAAGATAACTAAAAAATTACCCTGTTTCACAAGAAGGTTGGCTTGTGTTTAGTAGAGAACCATTTCTTATTACTTGCTGTGAAAAGATAGTGACTCTTCATGACTTGTCAGACATTTTGGGTATGCATGCACATGATCTGGAAGAAAGTATGCTTTCTTAGGACTTTAGAGATTGGGGTTCTGATACTGGAGAACATATCTTCTCCTCACCTCTAAGACACACATTTTTCATGTTGAACTTGAAGGGTTTTCTTTATTCTTGAGTAAACAACTACTGCAGTATATTTTGGTAAGTAAGGAGCAGTAGCATCATTCTACTAGGTTGTCAAAAAAGGGGTGAGGATTGTATGTGTGTTAACAGAGGATGAATTTATTAAAAAATGACAACAGTCCTTTCAGTATATTTTCACCTAAATTAAAATAGAAGGAGGTTTGTGTCCTCACCTCAAAGATGATATGAGACTTGAATCCCTCAGGTTTATTTCCTTGACCAAGTTTTCATCTGCTGTCTTCTCTGCATGTGTTTGTATGTTTGCATAGGTATATATCTCTACACGTTAATGTATTTGTTACCAAATTTTGTACATAGTACTGCCAGGACAAATTAGAAATATTTTTGTGGCATTTTTTGGTAGTTCTGACTCCATAGGCTTTATCTATATTCTAAGTATTTAGAAGGGTGATGGGTTTGTTAGGGCTTATTTCCTATTAGCAATTCCCAATTTTAGACTTACTTTTTAAGAAGCTCCATACTTTATAGTACAAATTGAAACTGGACAATTTCTAATTATCTTGCCTTTCTTCTTCAGTGGTAACTTTTGTTACACTTCTGGTAATGTTAAGAACTTTTTATCAATTTCTCTGAAAAGCAAATTCCTTCCCTCCTTCCCATTCTCTTATCTGCCATCAGATTCTGAATCTGCCATGTTGGTTAACTACTCATCATTTAAAAAGCATGTTTTATATACTCTAAGATTGTACCTGAAAATTTAAAAATTAAAGCTTTCTTCAGAATGATCCTTACTAAATACAAATTCTAATGTGAAAGCGTCATCTACCTCATCTAAATAATACTGGATTGGGGTAAACATAGTGTGAAATAAGGAGCCATATTTTGTTTGAAACCCAAGATTATTACTTCATTTTCTGTCGTAATACCATAGTTAGCACTATTTATCTTTGAACACACTGTATCATCACTCATTTGTAATTTACTCAGCAATCTTACTTATTCTCATTCATTCACTATTGTCTTTAAGGTCTTCCCCAATAAATCAACATTAATGTTTTTTTCCTACATTATCATTAAGTTCATTCACATGGGTACAGATTTTGTTAAAATACCCGTCTGAATATTTTGGAGGTTTGCTGTCTGTTCTGTATGTTGTTCAAGTGTCCCAGATTCTGTCACTAATAAGTGGTTTCACTGGTAGAATGGATGTTAGGTATTTATTTAACAGTGTCTTTTAGCATGAAAAGTAAATAATATGCTGATGCATGTTGAGATCTATATACTTTACATTAAAAAGTCAGGGTTTTTTCTGTTTTAGCTTATGTCAGGAACTGAGGTTGTCTCTTTCTTCTGTCTTCACAACCTTCTTTGTGGTACTTGTTTTTTCAGATTGCATATACATGTTGGTGCTATGGCCAGTATGAAAAATTTGTCCTATTAATCGTATTCACTATGTATGAGCTATCTGCAAACATAGAAAACGAAATAAATTTTACTGTTTTGTTTGTTTTGAATTAGGCTCATGCACAGTTAGTTCGAGAAGTCGATGTAGAGAAGGTGGCAACTTTTGAGACCCCTTATGTAGATGCAATAAGAAGCTTATGGAATGACCCTGGAATTCAGGAGTGTTATGATAGACGACGGGAGTATCAGTTGTCAGATTCAACTAAATAGTAAGTACATGGTGGCTACGAAATATCATTCTCTCTTTTTAACAAAGTATTTTTTACTTTTTAGGTTCTTATACTATTTATTTGTGTACATGTTTGTATGTCTATGAAGCACAAACATACCTGAATCATAGAATAGTTAGGGTTGGAAACGACCTTAAGATCATTTAGTTCCAAGCCCCTGCCATGAGCAGGGACCCCTCGAACTAAACTATGTCACCCAAGGCTCTGTCCAACCTGGCCTTGAACACTGCCAGGGATGGAGCATTCACAACTTGGCAACCCAGTCCAGTCCCTCACCACCCTCACTGTAAAGAACTTCTTCCTTAGATCTAATCTGAACTTCCCCTGTTTAAGTTTAAACCCATTACCCCTTGTCCTACCACTACAGTCCCTGATGAAGAGTCCCTCCCCAGCATCCTTACAGGCCCCCTTCAGGTACTGGAAGGCTGCTATGAGGTCTCCACGCAACCTTCTCTTCTCCAGGCTGAACAGCCCCAACTTTCTCAGCCTGTCTTCATACGGGAGGTGCTCCAGTCCTCTTATCATCCTTGTGGCCCTTCTCTGGACTTGCTCCAGCAGTTCCATGTCCTTCTTATGTTGAGAACACCAGAACTGTACACAATACTCCAAGTGAGGTCTCGCAAGAGCAGAGTAGAGGGGCAGGATCACCTCCTTTGACCTGCTGGTCACACTTCTTTTGATGTAGCCCAGGATACGGTTGATTTCTGGGCTGCAAGCACACACTGAAGCTGGCTCATGTCAAGCTTCTCTTCAACCAACACCCCCAAGTCCTTCTCCTCAGGGCTGCCCTGAATCACTTTTGTGCCCAACCTGTAGCTGTGAGTTGAATTCAGAGGACACTTCAAGGAGTAGAGTACATCCAGTTCAGGATTATGTCCGTGTTTGTTTTACAGGATGTCAGTCTCTGATCATCTAAAGTCTTAAATGAAGATTGTAACTAGAGATGGTTAGTCACTGATGGTTTTGTTTTCTTTTGTTACACATGCTCAAACCCTTACTGTCTTTTTACATACACTCACAAATGCAAGCTGGAAATGAGAGGTCTGGGATGACATTTATTTGCAGAGTAGTCTGAGGGTTCTGGCCTAGCACAAGACTTGATATGTAATTTAGTCAAGACGAATTCATTTGTACCTTGCTGATGCAATTTCGGCATCCGAAGATCAACAGATAGATGACATAAGTCTTCTCTGATTTGCTCCAGTGCTGTCACCTCACCATATTCTTCATTTGCCCTATGCATAGTTTCCTATTATCCTATGTAGATTGCTGTCCTATGGAGCTGGTTACCTTTCCAGCATATCACTTTTATCATTTCTGTATGCATGTTTTGGTGAGAGTATTGCAAAGCACAGTCGGATCTCTCTTAGTTGTTTGGATTCTCACCTTCCCCGTAAAAGAACCATACTGTGTTTTGTTCTTTAGTGGTAAGAAAACAAATAGAATATTACATAAAGTGAAAAACTGTAGGGTGCATAAAAAGTGAGAAGAAAATTTAAGAAACAAGTTACTGACAATGTACATTCATCTTGTTTCCATATTGAAATGAGCAGCAAGCGTAAGTAGAAGGTGAAGCAGAGCTTGTGTTAAGCTTTGAATTTCTTAGATTTGTAGGTCCTAACTTTGTTTCCACAACAGATGCGATGCTGTTTTTAAAGTTGAAATACATATAGGTATTTTTTGTGAGTTAGAGGATAAAAATAGAATTACTTAATCTCCAAAGCAGGAAATAGTCATCTGATGCTACTTCAGATCAGATTGTGCTGAATACCATAGTTTTGACCTAGTTCTTATGAAATTGTCACCATGTGTATCTTTTTTATTAAAAACAGTAGGAAATAATTCACTAAGCTGTAGAAGCAAATTGCTAGTACATTACCTTGCAGTTGGTTACTTTTCAAGCTCAACTTTTTTTGCAATTTAACATGAGTTCTTGCAGATTTGGTAACTTTTATCTATTACAGTTCATAATATGGATTTCTGCAAAATCTGTTTTAAATGAGAATTGTGAATCATTTTATGTAAGTCTTTAGAAGGGCCTCTCTTATATTTATGCTTGCAGGTAGAGTTTTTTCCAGTGAAAGCAATTAGCAGAAACCAAAGGAAAGTTGTTTCAAAAACACAGTATGTATGTTTAGCAAGAAAACACCAAAAAGAATTTTCTAACTTTAATTCCTGTCACAAAGCAAGAAAACAAAATGCTTAAAAGTCACTGTTGAGATTCACAAGTCAGTAAACTAGAAAAAGAACCCTGGTGGCCATTGATGTGGTCAGTCTTGATAATTTCTTTTGACCTGATGGATATACCAAAGTGGTTTGTTGTCCACTAGACCTCTTGTAAGCATGTGTCAGTATGCTTTGTGAGAATGCATCAGTATTTTTAAACATATGTGTCAATATCACACATGTCCTTCGTGCATCTCTTGCATGAGCCTCTCATCTTCCTAGAAGATTTCCCCTGGTTTTTTATAGTACTAGTATTTTCAGTCTGTTCACTGTATTGCTTTTTTTTTTTCATCACATTGTCTTCCTAAATCTCTTCCTCTGTATTTTCTGGGGGGTTTATGTTTTCTAAACTCTGGTTTTTAATATACCCTCCATGTTTGTATACTTTCTGTCATCTGTTGACCTGTTTTGTCATTGTTAGCTGCGCTTTTGATGTTTTTACACCCACTGCTAGTACCCTGAAAGAATACATCAGATGTGTGTTTATCACAAGAGGTTAGGGCAGGGTAGGAAAGAAAACTTCCTGCAGCCTAGAGGTTGATTTGAACCTCTTAGTGGCTCAGCAAATGCATTCCATTCTCTTCTCTTGCGACTGAATGCTCCAAAGTTTAGATGTTAATGTTGTTTTTAAAAGCAATTTCTAGATTTCTCTGTGGTGAAGTTAAGAACACATCAGGTAAACTGAGATTATTCACTTCCCATATAAATTACGGGATGACTAAGCCACCTACTTACCACTAAACCACTTCCCTCCAAGATACTATTCACTGTGTGAGACAGCTATAAACCAACACCACGCTGCTGATTGCCTTAAGTAATAGCTGTGTGAGATGAGATCATTCAGTGTGTACTGTACAGGGTGTCAAGACCTTAACCCAGATACAAACAGGTTACCAGTCAACAGTCTCATTACATAATGGCTTTTCAAAGCCTGAGGAAGGGGGAGTCAACAGCCTTACTGTTGTCATAAGTAAGATTTCACATTTGTGTCTTCAGAATATCACTGATTTTTTAGATGGAAGACAGAGATGAATCCTAACGATGTCTGCTCATCAAAGTTCATGTTCCACTTTTCCTGTAAACCGATGCATGAATTGTAATGCTTTGGTTATCAAGTAATTTTATATGATGGTATTCCATCAGAGTTTGAAGATTTTTATAACTTCAGATGAACAATTAATTCCTTCATTCCTAAAAAAGATAGCATTTTGCTTCCATGTTCCACTTCTGAAATGGGTGCATTTCAGTGGAATTTCTGTGTGCTAAATAGGATGTGCTTAGGGGCACACAAGGGAAAAAATCACTGTATGAATCTTTTAAGTTTTTATTGCCTCTAGTGATCAGAACATTCATTCTTTCACTTCATAAAGCTGTAGGGAATTCTTACGATATCATGGGTCTCTGTGAGCCTTTCTGGAGGACTAATACTGTTCTAAATTGAGACCTGCTCTGTGGCTGACACTGGTATAGCAAATTATTAATAACTGCCTATATGATATCTGTATAATAGTCATTTGTTGGGGACAAGAATAAATATACTCTAAGATACGTAGGAACATCATCATTTAATAAACATTTTAATACTGTTCATTGATTTTTTCTTCCCTTCATTTGTAAAAATGTACTTGAAGGTTCTAAAGCTACATTTAGGGGCAATTTATGTTGCAAAATGGTAGATTCTTCTCTTATGTAGCTTTGTGATAAAATAAAAACAGCAAATAAAAGTCTGAATATGAAGATCAAGTACTAGCAGCAGAACCATGCCAACCCTATCTTATGTCTTAGATATAGTTCCCAAACATAAAATAAATGTCTGAAGAAAATAGGACATGAGATTTGCTGGATACAAAAGCTATGCATCTTACAGAAAAACTGAAGATTATGCAACACAACAAGGGAAATTCAGAAAGGGAAGTGGGGTTATATAAAGGAGCATACACTATGCATTTCTTCCAGGTTCCTTTTTTTCCATGCAGTACTGAACACATTTTTTATATTTCTATAATTCTTAAACCACATTTCCTATTAAGAAAAGACTGCACAAGCATTTTTTTATTTGATGACTTACTCGTTTCTAGCATTTGCTAAGGTTGGCTTTTAGCCATGTAGGAAATTGAGAGAGACAGTTAGGTAGGATTTGAGTGGGATAAGGGTAAAAAGAGTACAGTACAGACTTCTTCGTAACTCACTGCAAAGATCTTAGGTTTACTCTGTTTACTTTACATTAAGATTAGATAGTTCTGGAAGCTGGTAAACATGCCTCAACTTTTCACCAATGGTGTACAGGCTCAGAAATGCAGACCTACAGAGAAGTTCTGAAAATGGGGCCAATACTTGTTTACACTTAGTTTGGTTTACAGCTCATGTTTGTACACTGAAAATTGTTTCCATTTACTGCACTGCTGCTGCATGTTAGCAAAGAGGCCACTTGTGTCAGTTACTCTGGCAGTTTTGTGAGGTAGGAAAAATCATGCTACAGCAACTTTAATGTTTTGCAAATGTGGAGTTGAAAGACAATCAGGTAGTATGCATTTTCAAAAATACAGAAAAAGGCTTTTCCTTTTCAAAGGTTGTTTTCCAGCACATGGCCAAATTTTGGGGTAGTCTCATCAGCCAGTTAAAGAGTTTTGCAAAACAACCAACCAGCCTCCCCAAAAACCACACCGGACCCCACAAAAGTATGGAGAGTAGCCCAAACCAATTCCGGAACAGCCAGGCTGCAAGGGACTGAGATAAGCCAAATACTCTTTGTT